GTGAGTGTGTTTTTGGCCAAGGCTGTGGAGGAAGGCGTGATTGTCACTTGAGGCAGACACTGTCATGTACCTTGGCTGGCCGCTGACAGCGTTGCTTTATATTATATCAGAGAAGAGGATCGTATTTCTGTTCCCAGCAGCTCCGTCTTAGCTCTGGTGCTTGTCACGTATCTTTACTTCTTGCGGCTTCAGGGGTGACGCAGCTGACCTCAGTAAAGAATTACGCTGTGGGGAAACGTAATGTGCATCAGGTTTTACCTCATGTTCTCACATTGTAAAAAACAGAAAAAGAAAGATAATTATCAAGCATCCTGTTTTTCCAGTAGTTGGTTGTCACAGGATAGGTAGTTGAGTTAAACAAGGTCAGTTTGTTTTTAACCAAAATCTGTATTTAAAGCTATTTTAGTAACAAAAAACAGTTCCGTTTATTTGACCTCTTCAGCGGGCTCTGCGAAATCGATGCTTCTCAGTTCATGTTTACAGACATCAGAGCAGGCCAGTGGGTGAGAGGGCACTGTAACAAAAAGTCAACCAAACAGTGAAGGAGGTGATAGGTGACCCCTGTTGGAAAGTAACCAAACACCAACCACTATAGCGCAGCAGCAGCAGGTGTCGAGGTAACAGTTGTAGCATCGACAGGTAACAGTAGCAGCAGTGGTGCTAGTAGTCATACTGTTGGATTCAGTTACTGAGCACTACAAGTTTTAATGACTTAGTGCTCAAAAACAAAGCACCACCACAGACTATAACACAATTCCAACAATAAATATTGAGCATAATGTGCTTTTTCTTATCTGCTAATTTAAATACATGTTCTTAAGTTTAAATAACAACCTTCAGTTTTTTTAACCTTGAAGAAAAGAACAGCAACAATGGTCTCGGATGATTTTAAGTGACTGCAGCCCAGTGTTGCTTTCAAGGTCTTGTACACTCATAGACAAAATGCCGCCACACTGTTTTAAGTCACTACAAACAGTACTGTGTCACATGTGATATGATATACAATAAACATTAGATTGAGGGCACTTGAAGGTTGCTGCTCATACAGTACAGTATATGCCACTACTGTCTGTCCTCATGACTGCAGACGTGCTGTCCCCCTCTGTTCGGAGAAAGGAGACACCTTTATTGTGGACACCATCTGAAGCTAAAAAAAAGGCATAAGATACATGTTTACATGGGGCTCACTCATGACTAAGGGTGTTACAATTACTTAAAACTAAAGTAAAAACTAAAACTAGGTGTAAAAAAACACGCTTTATTTTTAAGTAAAATGAATTTCCAGTACAGCGCTTTTATTTTGAAGTGCAGTTTCCTGCTGTAGAGAGTGAATAACAAACAGCTGCTCAACAGAGACAGCAACGACAACATGGCCAAACGCAAGTATGACAGCAAAAATATTAAACTGTGTAACCCTTGAACTAATGACTAAGGAGAAATTTGGAGCCCTTAGCAGGACCAGTTGGGAACCACTGGATTAGAGTGTCTGCCCCATGTAGGCTGAGTCCTTTGCTGCGTGTCATCCCCATTCTCTCTACCCCTTTCCCATCACTCTCTAGCTGCAGTGTAAAATAGGCAATAAAAGCCCCAAAAATAATCTTAAAAAATAAAATACAACAGCGAAAACTAGCTGAAATGATGTATTTACTAACAAAATATATATATACACATGTTTTGTTTATAATAATACCGTTTCTTAACTTTTTAAACCTCGCCCCTGACAAATACCCCTCAATATTATAACAATGTAAAACTAAACTAATACTGAAATTAATACAAACTGAGCTGAAAATAAACATTTATAAGCAATAAAACCAAACTGAAAGAAGCAAACCTATGCTGGAAACTGACTGAAACTAAACAAAATTGAAAACAAAACTTAAAATTAAAAATAAAAACCTATGAAAAATACAGAAATATTTAAACTCTGCTCTTGACCTGAGTTCTCTCAGTTTTGGGGACTCTAATCTGAAAGTGGACTTTGCCTTAATAAGCCAGACAGAATAATTCACTGTTGTGAAACACATCTCCTGCCTGTCATGGGAGAGCAATGACGAAGGCACAGAGAGGACAAGAGTTTGTCACCAGACGTTTAAGTGATGTCAGTCATATGCAGACTTTTAACACCCACAGCTCTGGTATGCTGGTAAATCCCAAAGTTAAGTGTTGTCAGTGGTGTTTAACCAGTCAGGAATCTCCAAAAATCTTATTTTACCTCAGAAAATTCGTTTAATTATTTGTAATGCAAACATGCCAAACACCCCCTCATCCTGGCTTCTTACCTTTAAAAAATGCTGCTTTCTTTATTTTTGGTTTTGGTCAAACATTACAAGACATTTAAAGACATTAACTTGGGTTTTAGAAAACTGCAATACCCATTTTTTAGTATTTCTCTTGGTGGTTTGTGATTCATACTATGAGTGAACCATATTAGCATTTTTTCTGTATGATTAATGTTGTTTATATGTAAAGTGTGGTTCGCAGCGTCTTGGTGGTTTCGTGGGCTGGCCTGTCATCATGCACCAAATATTTGGATTCAGCAAATTCTTTTCCTTGAACACTGCTTCCTCTACAACAACAACATATGTTTGAGAACACGTGTCGTCTCAGACAGCGGCACAGGGTAGTCATTGTTCCAAAATATAGACACACTGATTGTTGAACGACTGGCTCCTTGTCGTCCTTGTCTCACCTGTCTACTGTGCAGCAAATACCAAACAGTATCTGCAGACTTTACCTTTTTGGGCTCTTTTTGGCTTGTAGTCAGAGTGACAGTATTTCTTTTAGATAACATCTTTTGAATCTGGGTTGGTGTCGTCGGAATTCTGCGGTCGCAGTTTTGCATGTGGGCCCAGTCTTAAGTAAAGACAACAACGTCTTAAAAACATTTGCCTCGATCAACCAGAACAACCAGCTATTTGATGCTGCCAATGCAAAGACAAGTGAATACAGGTGGCTTCTAAAAATAAACAACATAGCCAGAATAGAAAAGATCCTTCTGCCAGAAGATAATACATTTGATGTGCATATTTCTCTGGTTCATTTTGTACTGATGTGATTTTACTGTCCAAGGTCTTGTTTTGTGTCCGTCTTTTAACATTTTGGAGACAAGTGTCCTCACTTTGACTTGTTATCATGTCCAGGCTTTTATAAAATAAATTTTCAAGGCCAAAGAAAACTGCAGATTTTTATACAAAGCCTAGCGCATTGCTACCAACTGAAAATGACCACATTTAGTTTGTTTTTTATTCTAGCAACTTAGATTATTTGACTCCAAATACCTTCATGTGATTATATTATCATTAGGGCTACAACTGACAATTATTTTCTCAATTAATCTGAAAATTGCATCTTTGATTAATTGTAATTATATCAGCAAAACATCATAATGGAAGAGCAGGAACTAGGGAGTGTTTGTCATTTTTGCTTGAATAATAGTTTCAGTCAGTCAATTTGTCAATTAATCATTTCAGCTCTAATTATCACTCAAATAAAGGCTACTGAATTGCACTGAAAATCGATAGAAAGGCTGATGTACATTAAGTTAAATATAGTAGTTGCTTTGCGGTGCATTTAAAACGTCTTGCGGCATCAGTTCTCCTCCAGCCATTCCTGTAAATCCTGCTTTAATTGAATTAGTTTGATCAAGAGACAAGGAGAACACGAAGGACAGGAAGGAAGGCAGAAGAGAAGGAGAAAAGGGAAAGAACATGATGAAGCCGAGGGAGCAAGAACGGAGGATGAGTCGTGAAAATGGAGGAAGCGAAATGAGGGTGATGCAGTCGATGTAGACAGAGAGGGAGAAAGATGGATGGATGGACAGTGTGTGTGAGAGCGCGATGGAGGCTGAGAGATGGAGCTAAGTGAAAGAGAAAATAGGAGGCTGAGGAGACAGCCAGAAGAGGAGATTATGGAGGATGGGGGTTGTCTGTTTCCATGGCGACTGGGCTCTTGTTGAGCTGCGGTGGTGTTTTTTTTCTCTCTCGCCGGTTGTGCTGGAAGATTTTTTTTTTTTTTTCTGCACTCAATGTTCTACCCAACTAACTATCCAGACCGGTTTCCTCCCTCCTCTCCTCTCCTCTCCTGCCGTCTCTGTGCAGTAGTGTTATATTGCCATGTTCATGCAGCAGGCATGTAGGACGCAGGTTGGTCCTGTTCATACCAGACAGATGTCACAGGTTGATCTGTGGTGGGTGTCGTTAGCAGAGGCTCCGGTCTATGGCTGCAATTAACTGTTGTTTATTATCAGTTTGTTCTCTCAATTAATTGTTTTTTTAATGTCAGAAAATAGTTAAAAATTTCCCTTTTTACCCTTATGATTATGTATTTGAATACCTTGTTATGTCCAACCATCGGCCAAAATCCCAATCAAAAGATATTCAGGTTACTATCATGCATGGCAACAACAAAAAGCAGCAAATCATCAAGTGTGTGAAGCTGGAAAAAACAAATATATGGTATGTTTTGCTTAGAAAAATTGAAATGAATGAAACAATTTATCAGATATTAAAATACTTGGAGTTAATTTTCTGCTCATCAATGAATCAATTAGTTGTTTCAGGTCTGTGTTGACGTTCCACACACTGAAATATATTAACAAATACATTTTCTTCTATTCAGTATCATTGAGTCAACTGTATTCTCCCACCATGTTCAACTCTGGTTGGAAAGGGTGTCGCAGTTAAGGGTTGGATGGTGTGTGTTGACCCATTAGGATGGACCGCAGACAATTAATTAAGTAGTCTATTGACGTAAAAATGGTCAGCAATGATTTTATTTAGTATCACATATCAGACATTATATTTCAGTTGGCTGTTAGCATAATGGTACCTCTTTAATAAAAGCTACATTATAACAACAAGGTGTCTGGGTTTTAGTCAGAGTTTTTGTCTGAATAAATTAATTTCTAAAAGTCTGAAACACCAGTTGAATCCTGGGTTGTGGTATTTTAATGTGTATAATGTCTTGGTTAATTACAACATCCCCATTTTCCTCTCCAGCCTTCCCCTGGTTTGGCATGGACATCGGTGGCACCCTGGTCAAGTTGGTGTACTTTGAGCCGGTCGATATAACGGCTGAGGAAGAGCAGGAAGAAGTGGAAAACCTCAAGTCCATCCGCCGCTACCTCACCTCAAACGTGGCCTATGGTATGTCTACTCACACACACACACACACACACACACACACACACACACACACACACACCTGTAGTCACACCCACATACTTGTGTCTGTTTTGTGTCTATAACAGGGCACGCCAGGTCAATGACACGCTACAGGAAGGAAGCAGGATATACTTTACAGTGTGTGTCTATAGTGTGCTGCATAAGATAGGCAGGGCGTTGTTCTTGACCTCAGGTTTAGTTATGACAGGAATCACAGAAACCTCACCTTTTAATGTGTTTGCAATTTATAAATGGACACCAATACATTGAGCCAGAATCCTACAGTATAAAATTTGCTCCTCACTCATTCAGGTAAAACAGGTGTCCGTGATGTCCACCTGGAGCTGAGGAACCTTACCATGTGCGGCAGGACGGGAAACCTGCACTTCATCCGCTTCCCAACGCAGGCCATGCCCCGTTTCATCCAGATGGGTCGCGACAAGAACTTCTCCAGCCTGCACACAACGCTCTGCGCCACCGGAGGCGGAGCGTACAAGTTCGAGAATGACTTCAGAACGGTGAGGCCGCAAGAAATGTCTGATAAGTCTTTCTCACTAACACCATTGCGTTACCGATGGAGCTGCAACGAGAAGCTGATTAATTGATAAGTTGACTGTCAGGAAACGAATCTGCAGCTACTTTGATTATTAATCACAGGTCATTTTTAAAGCAAGTGTTGCAAACATTTAACAGTTCAAGCCTCTTAAATGTGAGACTTTGCTGCTTTTACTTGTCTTACATTAATTAAATTGAATATCTTTGAGTGTTTGACAGCTGGTCAGACAAATACCTTATTTAGGCAGAAGTTTCTCTCTGCCTCGATGTCTTTGCAGTCCATGCATTTCGGCATGACTTTTTGAAGTGAGCGCATCTGATATTTGCCTGTCTCAGTCCCTGTTTACCTGAGTTCATTGACCCGTTCTGCAGTGCAGTAGGATCAATGAACTCCCCCCTGGCACTGCAGCATGAACTGAGCTGAACCAAGACCTCATGCACACTGATGTGCTTAGAAAATCATTTTATCCTCATAAAACTGACAAATCGATGCTTCCAAGGAATCCTCTTTCACTTTAAATCATCTTGAACGGTTAAAGCCCCTTTGATAGTCTTTAGCATCGTCTCAGTATTATTACTCTCCTCCATTTTGGCTGCAGATGGCCGACCTGGAGCTGCTAAAGCTTGACGAGCTGGACTGCCTGATCCGTGGCCTGCTCTTCGTGGACAGGGTGAGCTTCAACGGACACCCAGAGGGCTACTACTTCCAGAACCCATCAGACACACAGAGCTGCGTGAAGAAGCCCTGCACCCTGGACAACCCCTTCCCCATGCTGCTGGTCAACATCGGCTCCGGGGTCTCCATACTGGCTGTGTACTCGGAGAACAACTACAAACGGGTGACTGGGACTAGGTAAGAAGGGGAGATGCCATGTATGTCCTCGCTAAAACCTGCAACCTCACAGCACGCTGCCACAATTATAGACTAATGTTGGGAAACAGCCCGAATGAAGAGCAGCATTTTCAGAGATATATTAGTTGGGCCCAAGGGCGTTCAAAACTCAATAGAAAGACTTGACCTTGAGCCTCGAATCAGTGAGTTTTGTTTTGCATGAATGAATTTGTGGCAAAGGTGAAGGTGGCTGCATACTTTTTACAACTTCAGTAGATGTGCCTGATAAGTCAAAGCTGTTTGAATTCCAGCCGTTCTTTATCTATCGTCACCTTAGTACCTTTTTTACTTACGTAACAGCGGGACTAGATTGTGATTAGATAGTGAGCTGTTAGACACAGTCAGGAAATCAAAGAACAGACATGATGTGGGGAAAATATTAGTTGTTTTACATTTATATTTTATTTAACAAGCCTCCTCGTTATCTGTCATCGTGTCATCAACTCAGCTTACCCAGCAAGTCAAGCCAGGTCACATCTAGTGTCGCCATCTAAAGCACGTGCTGAACTTTAACTTTAACCGTATTCATCTGCCCAGATGTTTATTCTCTGGTGTATTTGCATCATGTTCTACAGTTGAAGCCAATGTGGGAGACGCTTATGTTGCAGGCTGCTCATGATGCAAGAGTTGAAGTTGCTCAGAGGTTAGAGGTCTGCAAAGTCCAGCCAGAAGTCCTGTGACTCTTACATGGTGGCGTAAGAGACTGAAGCACTAGAGAGAGATCTTTGAGCTGAGGACAGAAGTAGATGGGAATTTTAGTTCATAAATCTTTGCATATTTATGTCAGACAGAAAACAATCAGATCGTCAATATCACTTGTTCATATTGTCTCTTTCCCCGTTTATGTCCTCCTTATACATGTACTTTACTTCTTCTTCCTCTGGTATTGTCTCCCTCACACTCTTACCTCTGGCTTTATCCTCTTCCTCTCTTACCTTCAGTCTCGGCGGTGGTACATTCCTGGGCCTTTGCTGTCTTTTGACGGGCTGCGAAACCTTCGAGGAGGCGTTGGAAATGGCCAGCAAGGGCGACTCCACCAACGTGGACAAACTGGTGAAAGATATCTACGGAGGAGACTACGAGCGCTTTGGCCTGCAGGGCTCTGCTGTAGCGTCCAGGTGAGTCTAGTGAGGTCCACAGTTAGCCCTTTTCTGTACACATGTTGAATCGGCCTGGCTCAATTTGACTCACCGCATCGGGCCATCGTGGCAGGGATTTGCTTCTCCACACAACAAGGATACCTGGTTGAAGGTGTGTCTCTGATGACACGAATGTTTGTGAACCAGTGTGTTTGCCCAGCAGGTGTTTTTGTGGTCAACAACATTCTTGTTCTGTTGTCGTGTGTGTAGCTTTCTCTTTCATGAACGCACACCAGACCTCCTTCAGCTTGCTTGCAGTGCCTAAGAAGCATAGCTGTAGTGCTGGGGAGGTAATAGAATATTCCCAGTTGGCATAATCCGGTTGAAATTCATAAACATGTTATAAGTGCTTGAACATCCGAGCAGCAGAAAGTGTATGTCCAACAAGAGGGACAGTACAAACAAATTGAATAGTCAAAGAATAGCGCATTGCTTGATTCATGACGTCAACACGCAAGAAAACATTCCACCTTGAAAGCTGCCAGGAGCCTTTAAGATGCAGTGAATTAAATTAGGATTTGCATGCATATTAAATCTGAATCAGTCCTCTGACAGGTTCTTTGTCTGCTATTGAATAATGATGACAAAGATCATCTGACGTCATCTTAACCTGCCTAGAGGCATTTAGGGACACTTTGGTGTGATTCAAGATGGTGTCTGTAGATTGGTAATAAGAACGCAAAAAACGTGCCAGGGTTTGACTTGGCGTGGCCAAAAGTGCCTATGAGCAAGCCTTAAGGCTCTGTGTCCACCAAAGCGTTTTTTCCAGCTGAAAACACCAAGCGTGGAGCATTTGAGAGCACTTTTTTCAGATACTTTGCGTCTGGTTGCTATGATACGGAATGTCTACGGAAGTGAACCTGTCAGCACAAGGTAGAGTACTTACAGACCCACTGGTCTGTGTGGGTTCATGAGAGGAAACATAATATACATACAGTATATTAAAATATTTCTCCTCCATTATTGTTGTTGTTCAGCACTTGTTCATGTTAGATGTAACGGTTTGTCTTAGCGTCCCTCCTCCACTGTGACTGAACCACTGAGGTGACAGTGACGAGCGTGGCGTTTTTACCCAAAGTTAACCCCAAAGTGCCCAACCAGCACTATTTGGCGGAGAATTCATGGCGAGTGCCTTGGCACACTGCTGCCGTTTGTAGTGCAGCGTAAATACTTGGCATTCCCATTGCAAAGCATTAAAGAATACACTGGCCTCAGAAAAAAACGCTTCGGTGACCAAGGCCCCTAAATGGTACTGGAGTTCACCTCAGGAAGACACTTAATCCTTTTAATGCTAAGTGTGTCAAAGGCCATTAACACAAAGGTTTTTGATTATACTGTAAACTCAGGGGCGTGTAGTGTGTGATAATGGGGAGTAAACAATTCAAAGTTTCGGAGCAAAACAATTCCTCTCTCAAGAAAAACATCTGCATATTGATTAAATCAATGTCCTTGTCAGTTTCTCACTAAAATGTTGGTTAAAGACGATAAATGTGAGTCTTGTACTTGATGTAGACGTCACAGGTCTGGTTACTGTACTGTAAGTGGGCAGTGGCCGTGAATAATCCTTTTCTTATAATTGTTAGTGAGCTTCATTGAAGGAGAAAACATGAGAAATAAGTTGAGTATTTCCTTTGTTTCCCTCCTTCTTCTGCAGTGGTATAATTAATGAACCAATGCCTAATATTAGTATAACAGTAGTGGATGGAAATTTGCATCAATTTGCATTTTCTTTTGTCGATTTCCTGAAAATTCAGTTAAAATTTGTACTACATTTGTAATAAAACCCGACGACAGTGATTTTGAAAATGCAGATTTTTGTAGAGCCCTGAATTAAATCTGAAAACAGATCTCATGTATTGTGCCTCATGGAAAGCTGGATAAACCTACACTGATCTTTGCTCAACAAATATAATGCTGATTAAGTGATTTGATGCAAATTATTAAACTAATTATGTGGAGTGGATGAAATCAGCTTGGAATTTTATGACTCAGCTTAAAGCACCAATGTATTTGTTCACATCAATTAGGAAATTGCTCACACAACATAACAGTGAGAGCATGAATTAACCAAAATTACTTTTTCAGGGTTTTAATTTGTGTGTGTGGACACAGTGCCATTACAAGCTCTGTGTGAACATGTGGCTGCACAAAGGACATAATAGAAATACACATACCAGTAAATGGTGTACAAAGTTATGGCTGACTGGGCACACACACACACACACACACACACACACACACACACACACAACCTCACTCACACAATCAGACCTTTACTTGCTAATCTGGGTTCAGTATGTATACAGTAACCTGCGGCTCCGTGTTCAAAGGTTGATCCATAAAGTAAAGTGTTCAAAGTCATCAGATTATAATCGCTGTTTATTGTTATTGTGTTCTAGTTTGTCATTTATTGAAATAAAACACACACACACACACACACACACACACACACAGAAATACGCTGACCTGACAAACAACTCTTGTTTTCTGTCATTCTGAAGGTTATTCTGACATTTGTTTGGGTTTCTCTTTTTCATTTTATCTGTTAAGAGTTCATCAAACTTGAATAGTACCCATGAGGAAAGTGTGTGTTTATGTTTGTGGTTTTTTAACATGCGTCTCTTGTGGTCTGTTTTTTACAGTTTTGGCCACATGATGAGCAAAGAGAAGCGAGACAGCATCAGTAAGGAAGACCTCGCCAGAGCCACATTGGTAACCATCACTAACAACATAGGATCCATAGCACGGATGTGTGCTGTCAATGAGGTAAACACACAAGATCCTGGTCACCAACACCCTATCCTTAACAGGTGTGTGTGGTTTATATAGTACACACGCACATGAGCAATTATAGTTACTGTCATCAGTGGTAGGAACCTGGAGTTCCAGCCACTCAGCATGACTAACATCATAAAGTAAACCAAACTTATGCTGCATGCTCACAGTGTCTGCATGTGCTAAATTAGAGCAGGAAATTCGCTTTGCATGTTAAGTTTAAAACAGTGGTTTTGTTACAACACCCCCCTAAAATCCCCAAACGTCCTCCTCGCCCACTGGGTCTTGTTTTGAAACTCAAATGCCGAAATGTCTCCAATAACTGTGGGATTGCGGGGCACTAATTGGCGTCACAGTATAATCAGCGAGCGTATCACAAAAACAAAACAAGCAAGCAAGAGTGGTTTACTGAAAAACTTTAATGAGTAAATTGTTAAATGAAAGAAAAAAATGGAGCAACTGTTTAAAGCTGGATTTGAAAGTTTTTCCAGCGGCAGCAGCCAAAACTCACACACACTTATTTTCCCTGATCAGCCTGGAGTCTTTCTGTGTGCTGTGAGCTTCTTTACAGTGTTGCCTTGTGGCATGGCGATCAAGCAGCATTGTACAGGGCTATCACTGCACACAGAGCTGCAGCGAAGATGCACACACATGTCCACCTACTGTACGATTGAGGGCTTATATTAATACTTCTGTATAGAGTTATCCAGCAGGTCTTAATGGTTTTAGGGATAAAATGTAGACACTAAAATTCTCTTCATCTTACCTGCTCTTTTATAACAAGTTAGAACTATTTTTGGCCTTTAAACAAATGATTTGTCGTCAAAGGACATCACCGTTAAACAAGTAAATACATAGTGTTCCTCTGGCTTCAGACAGGATGGGACATGCATCCTATCAGGGGGTTGATGGACTAATGATGTGGTATCAGTAAGTCCTGTATTTGCCAGTATTAGTCTGGTCTTGCCCAGCTGTAACACAGATGTAAACACAGAAACACACGTTGCTTTAAGTGTGCAGTGTGTTGTTTACTGCATGAAGATAACCTCTGTCTCAAACAGTCACCTTCCTAACAGCAGAACACAGATTTATGTATTTACAATTCCCCACAAATCCCTACCCACTGTGGCTGCTTCTTGTTACTTTGCAAGATTTTGGCAAATATTAGATTAACATAATCCATTGTCAAACATGCGCAGATTACTCTTCCATCATGCTTGTTTTTCCCCCACTGTGAGAGTCAAACTAGAGGTGAAGTATAACAATTAACTTAATTTTCTCATTTTACTCTATCTGACACATTTCCTACACCCGTGCTTTACTCATTATGTTAGGTCATACTCCTAAAATACATTAAGGCGAATGATATATTTCCATGCATTCCAGCATTTAACAGTTTTAGGATTTCTCTGGCTTCATTGGAATTTTGAAAGCAGCTCGGTTTTTGGCGAAAAACAAATATAATCAGCATTGAGTTGTTGAGAACAAGAGCTATACTGGTAACCAGTTTATCAGTTCTCCAGCACCATCATGTGGTGAGGAAGATATGTTGCATTTTGTTGATAGTTGACTGATCTGTTTCTCATAAAGATTCATTTAAAACCTTGTCTGTCATAAGCTTAAGCTCCTGTATATTTTCTGACTGTTAATATGTGGAATTGTTTTTATTCATTAATGACCTTAAAGACAGTAAAACATTTTATAAAGGGACTGGTATTCATAGGAGTAAGGTGCACTATCGTTTGGTGCAGTCACCGTAGTCTAAACGTGTTGAGTGTCATTTTATGGGTATTTAATGTAGAGTGATGACAAGAAATTAGGGAAAATGGGGATTGACATGCAACAAAGGTCCCCAGTCTGATGCAAACCAGGCGTTCATGATTGGCCCTCCAAGGCGTCCAAGCCTTTCATATTTTCATATGAGGATTTCTGTTTTTGCTGATGCATTTGATGTAGATGTCACACGCACATGATGCTTGATTTTTCTGACTTTTTTCTAAATGTCTGTCTTCATATCAGAAAATCGAGCGTGTGGTGTTTGTTGGGAACTTCCTTCGTATCAACACAGTGTCCACAAAGCTGCTAGCCTACGCCATGGACTTCTGGTCGAAAGGACAACTACGAGCCCTCTTCCTGGAACATGAGGTGAGGAAAACCCTCTTTTTCTAAAGGTATAGTATGCAGGGAGTGTTTGTGAACAGTACCGCCAGCGAAAGCAAAAGTAAAAGCCAACCCCAACTTTGTCTGCTTGGTGTTTCGCCTCGCTATATTTGCAGGTTTTTTGGCGCTGTATCTTCAATTTTTGTAGCTTCCTCTTGGATGCCTGCTGCTTACACTCTGGCATCCGGTTGCCAGCTTTTATAACATCCTGACCTCACCTGTGTTGTGCCCAGGGTCGTCCTGAACGTAGCAGAATAAGAAAATACAGGCAGGTTGCAGGGTCTCTTCAGATAAATACCCTGTCACACACTTCTAGTGGGTCGTAAGTGCTGACTGAGAGGGGTTTCATTTGTATGTCTGTACATTGTTTATGAGGAAAATCTTGCATAGTATACCTTTACATTTTGTTGAACTAAATTAAACAAAACTAAATATCATGCCCAGGTAGCATATAAAAAGTATTATATCATCAGACACATGTGTATAAAAAGTGTGTTTGTGTGTGTGTGTGTTTGCACCAGGGTTATTTCGGAGCCGTCGGGGCGCTGATGGAGCTGCTCAAGACAACAGAGGACCCATGAAGGATATTACATTGTGACATCATCGACCCTCTACAAGACGATGTCATCCACCCCCAAATGCTGTGATGTCATCAACTCTCGATGCTGTGACGTCATCAACTTTTGATGCTGCTGAAAGGTCCTGTTCACAGAGGCCGCTAAAGGAACACTAAGAGAGAGAGCGACACACAGAAACTGAGAAAAGCCATTTTAATAATTTAACACGTGTAAATAATGATAACCTCTAACATTCATCTCCTGAGCTCCCCCGACAGAGTCCCCCTATCATAGAGGTTTTAATATTGTAATCTTTAATTTATGGTTTCCTGTAATCACCTCTGTTGATTCCAGTAATCAGCCCTGTGTCAGGAAGCACAAAGTGTTTTAGGGTTTTTCGTCACTGTGTGTATTTGTGTGAATAGCTACTGTAGCATTACGTCCTGGAGGCTGTGGTTCCACAGGCGACTATTTGTGCAACAATTCTCGAAGATTAGATGTCGGCACAGAAATTACGTTACTCTTGAAAGAGCAGTTGGGCATTTTTACCACCAGGGACTCAAGGAAATTCCTTTTCTGTGACCGCAGATACATTTGACCAGCGATGCCTCCTGCCTTCAGCTGTCAGAGTGCAGACAGGCAGCTGTAGCTGAACCCATCTGGGAACCCATCGGCTATCAGTCTGACAACGATTTAGCCTCTTTGGGCAACGGCCAATATTTAAGAGAATCCACTGAAGCCAGCGGTTACCTGAATCACAGATATCCATGCTCATTGTTTACAGTCTGATTAGCAACTTGAGACACTATACACAGAGTCCTGGTGCTCTATAAACACATATGTGCATATTGAAAAGCTAAAAAGTCCTCAGACGATAGCCGATGGTTTCTGAGATTGCATTTGAACCAATGCGTTCCACGTCTTTCACTCTCCACACGGACGTTTAATCTCCATGCAACAGAAGCCTGCTCAAACATGACTGGTCAATGTTACTTGGACTACAAACAAAAAGGCAAATATGCAGATATCTGTTTATTACAGACGCTGTCAAACCATCAAGACCACAGCTAGTGGTCATCCAGCTCCAAAACTACAGCTGGACCAGCAGTCCTGGCAGCAGCTAGGGTTAGGAGGCATTGCGTTGTTGCACAAAAGGTCGCCCACCACGCCACAGCCAAAAGAGTGCACTGAGGACAAATCCTGTTGAGATTCGTATGACGCCTGCCTCCTTCAGCCCAGAGGGGAAGCAGAGAAACAGTCTTTAATTCTTTCTGTCGCTCCATTGCTCATGGCCTTCGCTTTTTGTTTTGTTTGTCCTCCGTCTGCCTACATGTAAACAACATTAACAACATCATATTGCCACACATGCGTACCTAACCTGCTGAGTTTAGTGTTAGATGATGGGACCAAGACCTTGTCTTCCAACAGATGGCGCTGCAGTTGTGTCTTTGTTGTTTATGTCTGTTGACCAGCATCACCACAGCTGTAGTTGAGGACACAGTCTGCTCAGTGGCTTGTGTTTGTGATTTGTAAGAATACTGTGGGATTAATCTTTTCTCTGTAGAGAATCATCTTTTCTTTTCCTCTTACTCTTCCCTGTCTTGTCAATGTCACGTCAGGAGGGTAGAGTCCTGCTTCCTCACCCTCCAGCCAACCTGGCTGCCTTGTTGAGATGCTGCAGTGTGATTTAATGAGGAGATTATGGTCCAGCACCTCCTGCTGTAGATGCAGATGCAGAAGAATGGTGTCACCAAGATGCTTGTAGCCAAGAGTTGCCCCTCATGTTAAACACACTACAAATTTGCCTGCAGCAGTATCAGCTCATCTTTTAGGTTAGATTGTGTTTTTGCTGTCTTTATGGTGCAGATTTTTTGCATGACAGTCGGTGGTTTGTTCTCTGAAGTGCTGCTGGGTGGGTGGAGTTTTATTCCCACCATTTTGTTCTCACAAAAAATGAGAAAACACAGTCATTACTACACTTTCAGAAAGATACATGAGATAGCCAACATTCCCCAACTACAACCCAGATGATCACTTTTTATCCCTCATAGACCCTTTTAAATAACGTGTGCTTCACTTCAACCAACCATGTTGTACAGAACTTGTGCAAACCAAGCTGTGGCACACTAGAAGAGATTTAGGTGACGTTTTAAATTGTGTACTACTGCAGATCCTAAATTGTGGTGAATCCCTTTATTGCCTCTAATAATTTCTGTCTGACACTCTTATAAAGGAAGCCAATTATTTGGGGAAGTTGTAAAATACATGCACACCTCATCCTGAAAGAAAGGTTTGCTTGTAATTTATGACAGCTGTAAAGAGGCTTCATCGTCAGTGAGCTTTCTAGGCACCATCAGTTCATTTTAGAATCATTACATCATAGCTGTTTTTGAGAAAGATGCCGGGTTTCCTGTTTCCTCCTCTCAGCCTGGACCTTTACAGCCTTTCATCTCTGTTTAATATCAGAGCAGCTGAGCTATAAATCTGGGCGATGTCCTCTCCTCTGTCCACCGCTTTAGATATTTAGAACCACTGTCCACATGCCTGCACTCTCCAGCAGAGAAACTGTGCTCTTTGTGTATTTCACCTCCGTCTCTCAGTTCTTGTACGACTTTTTGTTGTTAAAGTACCTCCAAAGCATCACTGCTGTACCAACACTTTAACGTTGGTTAGTTATCTGTGTCTCCGAGCCTGACGTACAAGTGTTCAAGTATTTTCTTGACCTTTCTGGACCCTTTCTAACGTTTCGCCTACAGTAATAACAACAAGGGTGAAATCCTTATCAGCTAGTTGAGTGTTATGCAAGTATGTTGAACCCACCTTCTAACGTACCCACGGACTACACTTTGACCCCAACAAATAACATGTTTGCTGCTATGCACTTCGTCTTCCTTTGTTTGTAGTTCTTCAAAAGTTAATTTAAGCTGATGTTTTTGTCCACAACAAGTCACAGTACACCCAAGATTTTTAAAGTTTTGCTGTTGAAGCAATTGTGTTTGCAAATGGTAGATTAAACTGAATCATAATAGATAAGGATACTTTTCAATTAGCTCATTGGGTAACACAATAATGACATTTTTACAGAGTGGATCCTCTGTTGTTCTAAAAGCTAAATATCCGTATGTTTTCTGCTGCTGATTCTTCGATTGTAACAGGTTTTATTAACTTCCTGTTGACTACCTATTGATACTGTTCGCGTAGTCGTGTTTTGGAGGGATTTTAGACTTTCGCAACCATCTCCTCCGACAACACTGAATCATCAGTGTGTTCCATCCTGCTTGTTTTCAGTTGTGACGAAGCTGTAAATGTTCTTTTCAGGTGCTTTTTGTTCTGCTGCTTTTATATTTGCCTTCTTCCAACTCATGTTTGGATGATAACAGTGGCCTCGACCTGTCAGGTGCCACTCAGCTTTGAAATCCGGCTGGCGTTGGTTATCTCGTGCCACCCCTCTTCTTCTTCTTCTTCTTCTTCTTCTTCTTCTTCTCCTTCTCCTTCTCCTCCGCCATCTGAAAACCCCAATCAGTTGCCTTCACCGTGTCTGTGCCCTTCAGTTTCCTGTGTGGTTTCATTTTCATTTCTCACCTGCCTCACCTCACCTCAATGTCTTTGTTACGTTGTGCTGCGAATATGTTAATGTTCAGGTTTCACTGTTGCTTTCTGTTTGTTTATTGTTTGTTTTGTCATGGTACTGTAGCAGTGAACACACATTCACAGTTTGAATATCAAGAGACATTCACAAGTCACCTGCTCGTCCACAGTGGGTCTTCACAATGGCTTTGATATTGAAACTTGATCATTTTGAAAGCCACAAGATTATCTAGCTATCACAGATCATTAATACTGACAACTGGAATTTTAGATGTTTACCTGATACCTTTCTTGTCATTATGTTTTTGGGCAACAGTTTGGTTTGGGAACATTTTTCAAAAAGGTGTGTCCTGTTGTTATTTTTATCCTGCTTCTTTTTTTGTGGCCAGTAGTAAGTTATAATGTGAGTTTCTCATGTGATTTTAATATACTATTGTACAGAATTTTCTTTTCATGCTTTGATTGTTTTTTTGGTTGGCACAAAAGAACCAGTGTGATTGTTTCCAGAAAATGTAAATCCCTTGCCATCATGCTCTGTCCGGCTGAGGAGGCCTTTTTCGAGCATGTGGTGATTTTTCAGCACTTATAAAAGTCATCCGACTGCAAGCTGTAACTTTTTAAACACAGATTGTCACTGTCCTGCAGAGCCTTTTATCTCCAAACCTGTGAACACCCAAGTAGAAGGAGCGTTTAGTCATGGAGGCCACTCTTAACGTTTTCTGCTGTTCATCATGTGGCTCGGGCCTGATGTCGGGGCGAGATTAAATTGGAAACAGATAAATGAAGACATACTTGTAATAACGTTCAGGCTTCAACATTAATGTTTTTTGACTTGCCTGGTTTGTGTAGGGGAGAGCAAAACTTGACTTTGGTGACACTTGCCTGAAGTCAATTTTTACAGTTTTGTCTGCAGCCCTCTAATCTGTAACGGGGATGCTGTCAGCTCTTGTTCTGGCACTCCAGCATCGTATTTCGGACACTTAGCGTGCCTTTGGAAAACCTGTTTTATTGGCCTTGCTGTCAAACTTGCAGCAAACTGCTCAATATATAGTTGGCGTTTCGCGCACATCCTCTAACACCACCAAACTCCCGTTTCCAGGATAATTGAAATTCAGCTCATAAACTTTGTCTTTACCCACCGCCACTTTCTCCCAGTCCCCTCATCGGTACAGCGCATGTGCAACTCTCATCAGAGAGGAGAAGAAGCTCACAGCTTAGCTACCTCAATCATCAGCTCCAGGATCAAACATGCTTAATTATTTTTGCCACATCAGGCAAGATTTACTCACCCAACAACTTGCCCCAGGCGATCCTCATCGTTGAGCCCTGACGTTGAAGATAACAGTCTCTGCATAACATCGATGACGTGTTTTAAAGTTGTTCATTTTACCTGTATGTTCCTGGTAACGGTGTAATTATGGGTTTTAATGTGATTTTCATGCTCAACTAATCTAAAACTGTTTGAATGCAGAGTTGCAGACTGTAATGGGATATCATGAGTTCACATACTTGTAGTATTTTTGTACCTAACTGTTGTACTAATGTGCCGCTGCAGCTTCAGTGTTTTTGACGACAAAAACCAAACGACACTTGCTGGAGTTTAAAATTCTTCACACAAACTGTGTCGATGTTTTCAGCAGCAACTCTCTTGAAACCCATCGTTCAAAGCAGCATCACATCTTGCGCTGTACTCGACATGTTTGTGACGTTTTGTCCTTTTTAAAAGTGTTTCAGTGACAACATAGATACAGTATGAGGCAACAACACAGTCATTCACATCAGCTTTTAAGCGTAGATTTTTATGTTCCCATGAGTCAGCAGTGTGGGTGTTTATCTGCTTTGATAATGGTCTGTGAGTTGTGATGTTAGAGTTTGGGGTCTGAACCTCACTGACGCTTTGTATCGGGTTCATCTCCCACCGGGACCACCTGTACTCGGATCAGTGTATATTTCTCGGTACTGTAAAGGAGCTTAAAGCGTCCACCGAACGGCAAATGTCATGTCATCCGTAGTGGAATCTAACCAACGGGCTATGCAGTAACTCATCCATCGATCTCTTTGTCCCTTTCAACAAACTCACCTCTTCTCTAACGCTACCAGAGTTGATTGACTTGTTTGTAAATGTTTTTAAAAAATATATGCAACCCTGTTAGAGGTCCCCCGTTAGAAATCCTGTTTGAATCTTGACGGAGAGAGTTTCTCCTCCTGAAGTTCCTGTCCTGCTGATATAGTTGTTAACACTATGTAAGGTGGATGCTCGCAACGGGATGTTTAAGGCCGAATTATGCCCCAGAATGAGCGTATGAAGCATGTTTAAGATTGATATCAGACTGTAAACACCTTGTTGCTGTCAAACCTCATGTTGCGTATGAGTTACAGTGGCATAATGTCCCCTGTGACCTTCTGACCTTTAGCTTTTTTTGCCTCAAAGGTTCCTAATCTGGTCAGACATCCACATCCAGCCTTTAAAAAACTGTCTTCTGGAATGCTTGACAGGCGGGACAGACTTTTTCTCCCTTGTGTATTTGATTGTACAGAGATTTTGTAAATAATATTAATATGATATATTCTACACCAGCAATCTGTCTGTTGATTAAGTTGTTTCAACTGTGCAGGGCCTGGCTTCCCAAACACCACTAGGCACTTAATTAACAATCCAAACGCAGACAGAGGACGCACCGAGGCGATCCACTTCTCTCTGCAGCTTCAGCTGTGATTGATAGCGTCAACAAATACTTCTGTCTGGTCTGTTTTAAACTACTTGTGGTGTATGACACATTTCTAGATGTTTATTAGCAATATTAGCAAGTGTCTAAAAGTGATGGCATCCATTGTACATGTGTAAAACCCACCAATCTGTTGTGGCTTTAATATAATTTTCTAAACTCCATTCAGATCCATCTGACATTGATTAAACTTTGATGCTAAATAAGTCATACACTGACTAAGAAGTGGGATGTGACATGTTGAGTCAGTGTTAACTGGAATCAATGCTCCAGGTGGTTGTTTTTCTGTCTGCTGGATTTCAGTGCCGGTCGCTTCACCTCGACTCCTCTTGGATCTGGGTGTGAAAGTTTTTGGGAAGCCCAGTGCTGGTTGTTGGCGTCAGTTCTGCTGCTGCTTTTAACTCCGGTTTGAAAACACAAAGGGTTAAAAAGGAATAAAAGAAAAAAAAAACATTAAAAATGGCTCCCTGCCTTGTGCAATGCGTATGTACTGAAGTGAAGAGATTTTTTTTTTCTAAAAAGGAATTAAACTAAAACTGGATGAGAGATATGTGTGTTCTGGACGTTTCTTTATACTTTATACTTGTGCGGTGGTGTGTCTGTGTCACTCTGCAGTTACACCTCCAAAACACTAGTTGGTGGTGGGGTTTTGTGAAGTGCTATAAAGTTTAGTTGATTCAAAACACACATTAAACACACATTAAACATGGCTTAATAGAGACAATTTCAAACACAAGTACACAAATCAGCTTCACTATAACTCGCAGCATTCACAGACAAACACTTGTCTTTATCTGGACACATTTCCCCACAAATACAACATGCTAATGTTATTAGCACAAGTCTATGGCATTTTATATTGTATAAATTAGCCTAGCAGCTAGCAAACTTTTCCTCTTCTCATCTAAAACCACGGACAACAGCAACATATGACAAAGGTAACGGCACATAATTTGGCTCCATTTCAACTCACAAGGTTCACTGACAAAACAGCTGTCTTATACTAAACACGTTTTCCAAACAAATATAACATGCTAACGTTATTAGCACAAACCTATGGCATTTTACATTGTATAAATTAGCCTAGAGATCAGCAGAGATTTCCTCTGCTCATATGAAGCCAGGATAAATCACACACTAAAATGCTATTTTAGTGGAGGATGTATTGTCTTCACAATTTATCGTTTCTTATCTGTGAAATTAAAGTAAATAAAAGCTTCATTTCCACTGAGGGAAATGGTTTCAGCTGACAAAAGTAAGGCTATGGTGACAATTTATCGCAGAGGTATAAATGCCGCCTGACTTACTTTAGTCACGTATAGTGGTCACTACACTGGACATTATTTAAAAGCCATTTTCTTATATATGCATGGGTTTTGATCAGGTTTTGATGCCATAGTTGCTTATTACTCACTACAGTGAGCAATGCCATACACAGTTGTTTTGTCAGTGAACCTTGTGAGTTGTAATGGAGCCAAATTATGTGCTGTTACCTTTGTTAAATGTTGCTGTTGTCCCTGGTTTTATATGAGAAGAGGAAAAGTCTGCTAGCTGCTAGGCTAATTTATACAATGTAAAATGCCATAGGCTTGTGCTAATAACATTAGCATGTTGTATTTGTGGGGAAAATGTGTCCAGATAAAGACAAGTGTTTGTGAATGCTGCGAGTTATAGTGAAGCTGATTTGTGTACTTGTGTTTGAAGTTGTCTCTATTAATCCATGTTTAATGTGTGTTTATAGTGTGTTTAATGTGTGTTTATCGTGTGTTTAATGTGTGTTTATTGTATGTTTTGAATCAACTAAACTTTACAGCACTTCACAAAAACCCTACCGCCAACTAGTGTTTTGGAGGCGTAACTGCAGAGGGACACAGACACACCACCACGCGGACCCAAGTGCGTCATGCCATACACTGCCACCACTGGCCGGGTGTTGTCCATCAAAACCAAGATGGCCGACGGAAAGCAAGAAATGCTGTCCCCCTCAAGAATAGCAGGAACTGCCCATTGTTCCGACAGCCCATTATTCCGACAACATCCCATTGTTCTGACCATATTAAACCCATTGTTCTGAAGTCCCGTTGTTCCGAAATCATCATGATGCCCTGTGGTTAAGGTCTGGTTAGGTTTAGGCACAAAAATCACTTGGTTAGGGTCAGGAAAAGATCATGGTGTGGGTTAAAATGAAAAAGAAAGTGGCAAACACATATCGGAACAACGGGATGTCGGACCAGTGACATGGACCCAGAATATCTTGTCATTCCTGTTACCCTGGCAGGTAAATAAAATCTAGAAAAATCAAGTAACATCAAGAAGTAATAATGTTGTTACATTTTTGAAATATTGTTTATATGTTGTGAGGAAATTGCAATTAATCATCTGTCCATTAAGGTATAGAAGGGAGGAGTAGAAAAAGAGGGGAGAAGCTGAGGAGTCAGGAAAGTTCAGCGCTTTTGCGTGGCATTGAACAGTGTTAGAATTTGTTGAAAACATGTGAACATACTAGTTTAACAGCATCAAAATATATGTTTACAGTTTCACATGATATAGATCATTTTTTGATTGGTTCATATATTTTTAGTTTAAAAATTAAACACATGCTGTCCACCCGAGTGGGTATGAAAAACTACTTGAGAAATGCATGTTTAAAAAAAATGAACTTCAGAATTTTTTTTTTCATGTTTAAAGAGGAATAAAAACATCTGAGGTGGTAATAATTCATGCATGAAAACTGATTTAAAGGGGTTTAAAGACAAGCACACAGAAATAAAGAAAAAGACTAGACAGAAAAAAACTAATAAAGAAAGAAAACAGACAAAAATACCAGAATCATTCCCAGTCATTTCCTTTAAAAGGTTTAATGTTCACTTTTGTGTAAAAATTTGACTCCACAGTTGTACCTACATTGGTTTACATAACAATGAACAAAGTGTTAAAAGTAAAGGTGAGTTAATTGATTCGGGGGATGGGGTCAAATTTGTCCTATGTGACATTGAAAAGCAATACAAGTTTTAAGTTGCAGGTAGCTTAACCTTCACTCAACTAACCAAATTTACAAAGACAGTACTGTCTGCTAAGACTGTTTCATAAGAGAGGAGTAAATTATCTTTACTACAAGAGATAAAAAGTCTGATAAAGTCAGTAAACTGGAGGCTCCATCATACCTGCGCAGGTTGTACCCAACATTATGGGATTATTACAAAATATAGTCATAAAAAAGCAATGAAGTGAAATTAGGGAGCCAAGTTGCTACTGGTGTCTGTGTGGGAACTTTTGGGCACCTCTCTAACTCCTCCTCCTCCTCCTCCTCCTCCCTGCCTTCCTCCCCCCATATCTTCAGTTTGCGGGCTCAGTTGTGTTGCAGAGCACCATCAGAGTGTCTGCAGGCAGCAGCAGCAGAAAATCTTTCTTTGTTTATTTTTTTTAATTTTAATTTACCTCCTGTTTGTGTGTCTGCCCAAACAGCTGAGCCGTGAAGTGGTGACAGAGGAGCAGAGAGCGACTGGAAGCTGATGTAAGTCAACACACACTTCCTCCTTACTTCTGTCTGTGTGTTTGCCTTGCACACTTTCTGTCCAGTCTCAGACTACGTTTTTCTCCTTTGCCTTGTTCTCTTCACTAACATTGATGTTTTTCTGGTTATTTATTCGCTTTAAACACCCTCAATTTAACCTTATGAAATCTTGTATGCTTAGTATCTAAGTTTTAGTGTCAGTATTGATAAAAAAAAATCTGTTATACAAAGAAAAATCCTTTCACTGAAACAGATGCTTATATGTGTTGAACTGCAAAATAAAAGCTCCAATTATACAAAGACAATGTGCATGTGGATGATATATATTGCAGCTAAATGCTAGATTTTACAGACACAACAATTCTCTTTCATTTTCATTTTTCTTTTCAGACATCAGCTGCAATCAACCTTTACAGTTCCCATGTTAATTATTTGTCAAGCAGATTTGCATGCACATTTTTTCCGACACACTTTACATTTCTTTACCCCATGTTTTCATGACTCAGTGCCAGTTTACTTTGCAGCAGGAGGGGAATTCTCTGTTGGTGACGTACACGTGCTGTCAGTCGGCACACACACACACACATTATGTAAACTTTACAGCAGATGTGTCCAAAGTCTGGGCCAGGGATCAATGGTGGCCCGTGGACTGAGTTTAAATGACCCCAGCTTGTCTATCACAATATTCTAAATATAGTCTGCAGCTAATTTAGTTGATCAAGCAAGTTCCCTTCACAATAGCAGCACTATCAAATAGTTAACAGTCATGCAGCGAGTAGGAACTGTGCAGACTGAACTAATGCTTACTGAGCAAATGAAAAGAAGCAGCTGGCCCCCAGGTATATGTTCACGTTTAAAAAGAGTTTGGACGCCCATGCTTTACAGCCTGTTTGTCACAAAGACTTCCCACAGGAAGGGAAAAATGAACCTTTGAATGGGCGCACAAGCAGTTTCAACAGAGCAGATATGACTGTACTTTGGATACCCTCTTTTTACGCTTTATTAAGTTTGGCAGTGTGCCTTTTATTGTTTTATTTCCTAATCGAAAGGTGGCTTACCTGCAACTGAGGGGTGCTTCCAACCTTCTTATTACCCCCACCCCCGGGTCGTAACGACCTGAATCAGACCAGGTAGCTGAAATGCAAAAACAGCACAGCTGGAAGGTCTGAGCTTTTCACATGGAAATAAAAGACGCATTAGAGCGATGAACCCAGAGTGTGGAGCTCAGCCTCAGGGTGTGATTATCAAATACAAACAACGAGGATTTACCAGTTAGCATATGAAAAAGTCAACCTCAGACACACTGAGCCAGCACACTACCTTTTCAGGGAAGCTGTAGCTGATCTGATCCTGACCTCTGACGGGGTCCTAACAAGCTGTCCGTGATTCCTACCTGTTGTTTAATGCCAGTATGTTGTCTCTCTGTGCAGTACAAGGTTTTAAACCCACGGCCGCCAGGAAGTATTTTCTTTTTCAGTGCTCTGACAGCAGACTGGCCGGTGTTTCTTGCCTGGTGTTTTCTTTAGCAGGCTTGTGTCTGACCAGATGAAGAAAAGCAGAAGTACAGAAGTAAATTACTCACTTTATCTTGCAGCAAAAAGTATGTGCAAAATGTGTTCACACTAAGTTTCCAGGTCAGTTCTGAAAAGTTCTTCATGCTGAGCAGGAACATGGCTGAATTATTCCTCTGTCTCCTCCTTTGGTTGGCAAAATTTTTTTTTGAGATTTTCTGTGACTGAAGTCTCAATTTAATTCGATTAACTTAACTGCAATAACCCAGTTGGGTTTCTGTGGGTCTACTCAGCTATACTGATAATACTAACTACCCATTTCTTATTCTGCTAATCCAAGCAAATATAAATGAGTGCACCACTTCCTGATTCAAATATCTCAACAACTATTAAATGGACTGCCCTGACAGTCATGGTTCTGCAGAGGATAAATCCTAACGACTACTTCCACAGTGTGCTTGTTCATGTTGTAATTTCTGCCTGTTTTGGTTTCTCTGTTTTCTCAGTGATTGAGTAAGGAGAGGAGGAAGAAGCAAACCAAAAGAGAAGAAGGTCCTTTATGTTTCATGAAGATCTCGACTGCAGCTGTGACGAAACAAGCCCAGCCAATGAAAACGTGTCGTATATTTAGAGACAAAAGGAGAACATTGAGTAAGCATAGACACTTATGTCATTCTGCTTTGTGATTGGCTGGAGCAATGGCACTCACCAAGAAGGAGAAGCACGAGGGAGGCAGGAGAGCGTCTGGGGTCACGACCCCGCCAGAAGGTGGCTGGGGTTGGATGATCGTCGCTGGGTGTTTCCTCGCCACCATCTGCATCCGGGCAGTGACAAGGTGACTGTCGGTGTGTGTGTGTGTGTGTGTGTGTGTGTGTGTGTGTGTGTGTGTGTGTGTAGAGTTGCGGTAAACTAATTGATATACTAACAGGCCCTCCCATAGAACTGAAAAGGTCAAGTGAAAGGTCCCCAAATTTGCTCTACTCAAATCAACGCATATATAAAAACTGAGACGGTGGTCGGCCTGGTGGCTCCTTCAGTGATGCTAGCAACCTCTTGGCTACCTCTCACCTCTTCAGCCTGGCTTGGAGCAGCTTTCTGAGTTGGTCATTACATTATTATTTAGGTTTAATGCCTTGTGCAGCTTCCTTTTTTGCTCTCCTTTCTTTTCTGGCGTCCCTATTTATGTGCAGATCCTGGCAAAGCAATGAATTTCACTCCAACATTCATGTAAGACTCACACCATTTCCAGGAAAGAGGTTTTTTGTGATAAGCAATGTTGAATATAATAGTCAAAAAAGCTAACAAATCAGACAGAGAGAAGGCAAAAAAATCCTTCAATCCAAAACAGGCAAAGTTAAAAAAAAATCCAGGGAATCAAACAGAGATTAATAGAAAGCTATGATGTGATGGAACAAAAACAATCTGGCAGAGCTGGTGGGTACATAAATATACACAGGGATGGATAAGAGGATAATTGGGCAGGTGAGTAAGTGGCAGCAGGTGTGAATGGCGCAAAAACACAGGACGCTGCAATGACACGAGAGGTTAGTGCGTCAGGATAAAACAGGGAATATAACAAAACCGAGAATGTTACAGTAAGCTGACTTTGTGGAGTTTTTGTTTCCAGCTCCTGAGAGATGCTTAGTTTCACAGGTCTGGCAGAATTATGGGAGTGACCTTTTATGGAGTATTTTTGTATTTCCCTGTCAGAGGAAGGAAGAACCCTGAAAACATGATGTGTTGGCCTGGAACAACATCAGACACTGAGATCCTTTGGTGTTCCTGCAGGTAGCTTCTGGATGTGCAGGATTGTGTGGCAATCAGCTGTTCTTAAGATGGCTTCATGTTCTTAGCTTTGCTCATTAACACCTCTGTGTTATTACTTGGCAGCCCTACATTCCTCGTCAGCTCATATTGTTTAAGCCACTTAACCTGCTTCCGCAGCAATATGTTCTTTTTCCACCAAGACTTTACAATCCTGCTGAGATGTTTCCAGCTCCTAATTTTTGCTCAGCCAGCATATTGCCTACCTAACTCTGCTGGTATCTGACATGTGATTTCCACTGCCACTGCCTTTGATTCTTGAGAAGGAAGATGCATGCTCATTGCTCCTGTTCAGCATCACAATCCATTGTTATACTAACGTTTTGGTACCTCTGGACCTTTGTCAAGAGTATTTGCATACTACTTAAATAATTAAATGTAATCTGCTAATTTCTCCTTAAAAATGTGCATATTGAAAAAATAATTACAGCACAGGAGTACAGGCTTTTCTTCATGCATGTTTCTCTATGATGATGAAGTGATAGTCAGTGAAAAGAAAGTGGAAAACATTTCTGCAAATGAATGTGAACTCAGTGACCGGCTTTATGATCCTCTTGCCTCAACGTTCACGCAGGTCTTATGTGATCTGGTGCCATGAGACATGACTTTCCCCTGAGGTTGCACAATGGACAATGAGAGTCATAAAAAGGAGGTTAAGGAGGGTGAGGAGGACGGAGCCTTCAGATTTATGAATATAAATGACAGACATAAACTAATAAACAGCTCACTGAACACTATGTTATCAGCTGTGGTATGATGCTGGCACCTTGTATGATCTAAATCAAGTTCTTGCATCGACCTGAATAAAAAAGAAAATCAGGCCATAGTCTTGCAAAATCTTGGATCCTCAGTTTATCGCCTCATCTAAAGAACTGACTCTGCGTCTGTTTGCTCCGAACAAACTAGATAATGTAGCATGTTTTGTGTGGCAGAGGAGGAACACCTTCCAGACAGTGACAGCATTTCAGTAGCAATTATAAAAGCTTGCTGTAAAATGCACTAATAAATCCAACCTCCCTCTGTCTCTGTGTCCAGATGTGTGTCCATGTTCTTTGTGGAGTTCCAGCTGCACTTTGAGAAGGATTATTCCACCACTGCCTGGATCCACAGTCTCATCGACTCCACCACCATGCTCTGTGGTAAGACCGTCAACACACACCTGTACCTGAAGGCAGCTCAATGCTGCAGTTAAAACAAAGTTGACAAAGCAAAATTTACTTGTTTCCAATTCAATTCAGTTCAATGGAACCTTTTTTATCCCGACAGAAATTCTTGTGTAAAGAATGCTTCAGTTACAGTTACACAAAAACAGCAATAACGATTAAAGTTCACAAACCAGTAACAGCCAGGACAACCAGTGGGTTCCCCGGGGTCAGGGTCACACACTGGGCCCAGTTTTTCAAACAATGGAGAATTAGATATCAGTCAAAATATTCAAAATACACAAGATATAAAGTGTTTAAGCAGCAAAAGCAAAAACCAGTGCCTAATAGAGTAACAATAGAAGTAAGATAAGCACAAGAGTGTTTGTTTGTTTGGTACAGTTTCCTAAAACTGATTAATTTTTTCTCGTGTCCTATGGCCCTTACATGATTGCAAAACTCACACATGCATTCCATATTTGTGTTTTAGTGTTTGTGTTTTCATTCGGATCCAAATTGAAAATTAGAAAATGTTACTTGACGGCTAAGAGTCTTATTACAGACAAAAAAAAAAATTAAAAATCTGCACTGACAGCTGCAGAAATGAAACAGTCCAGCCAGTACAAGTGTAAAAAAGTTCTAATTTATTTACTATTCCAACTATTTAAACATACAGTTGAAATGAAAGCAGGACCACGGTACAAAACTAACAAAAGGTCAACAAATCATAAGACAAAAACACAGTATGGGTACATCAAGACTGGAGTGAAATGAAAGATCTGTTCAAATTAAGTGCTAAATGATGCATTTGCATGTGTACGGGTTTTATACCCAGCATATATATGAGTTGTTGTGGGTAAAATAATCTACACAAACTGTGTCTCCAGCTCCTCTGGGTGGTTTCCTTGGGAACCATCTGTCCTGCAGAGCCACAGTGATGCTGGGAGGTCTGCTGTCCTCTGCTGGTCTGATCCTCAGCTCCTTCGCTAACAGTCTGGAATATCTGTACATCTCCCTGGGCCTCCTCACAGGTACACAAGCACCTCACATTCCCTACCAAAAAAAACACAAGGACAAAGGACAGATAAAGATCAGAGTTTCACCTAATCAATGAGAAACGTGCAACACATCTGACCAGTGCTGTAGTCTATGTATCTGCTCATTTTCAGCTACAGGCTTTAAGAACTTGGTTTGATCTCTGCATTCCTTGCAGCTAGAGGTGTTGGATTAATGCCCACCATTTCATAGTAGATCTTTAGCTCTCCTCACCCTCTACACAAATTTAAACATTGGCCACAGGTAGGGGAGGTGTCAGGGTGTGCCTTTATAGTATGATGGCTCAGGAGCACCCTCAGTTAGCTTGGAAATGAATACCCATTGAGCTGAATCGCAATCTGCATTTCACCAGTTTGGGGTGTAAACTTTATTACCATATGAGGGCGGAGCCAGAGGTTGTCTTACTTCAGTTTAAGCTCCAAAAATGGCTTTTTATTTGCATTGATGACAACACTATTGAAAGAAATCATCAGTTTACTGAAAAAGTAAAGTACTGAATGTTTTTTTGTGTGTGTTTAATCACCCTACAAACCTTCCCCATAGAGAGTAAGGCCTCACTCTTTACATGTAAGGGTCTGACCCTTTGACAGTGTTTTATTTTTCAGTCTACACCCCATGCACACACTCACTGATGTCTCATGTCTTTTAAAACTTCTACTGTAGAACTGAACACCTTAGTTGTTTGTTTTCGATGGATGCACCTAAAATTTCTGATGACTTTTCATGTTCCTGAGGAGGTTGAATACATTTATTTTAACAGATTGTAAATGAATGTAATGTAATGTATATATTGCAGGGTGTCAGGGTGTCATATCCTTTGACACCCAAACAACGTCTGTGTAGATTTGGCAACATATCCATCCTCCACAGGTCTTGGCTTTGCTCTCAGCTACACACCAGCTATAGCGATGGTTGGGAGGTACTTCAATGAGAGGAAAGCCCTGGCCTATGGCATCGCCATGTCTGGTAGTGACACCTTTACTTACCTGTTGCTTTGTCTTCTTGTCATTCATACCTCACTTCCCCATCTCCTCTCTTCTACTCCTTCATTCTTCCTCTCTCGCATTCTTTTGACCAGACTTAGTTTGCGTCTGCGCTTTTCTCTAGTCTGTTCCTAAGTTCCTCTACTCGTGCTTCTCCTCTGCTCTCCCTGCCTCATTTCATCCCATCAAATCCAATTTCACCTCATCTTCAGGGAGCGGCATCGGGACGTTCATCCTGGCTCCTGCAGTCCAGCTGCTCATAGAGCGTTACTCCTGGAGAGGAGCTCTGCTCATCCTGGGAGGGTTTGTTTCCAACCTGTGTGTCTGTGGTGCTCTGATGAGGCCGCTGGAACCAAGGAGAAGTGAAAGGTTAGTCTTTTATTCATTCTATTGATGACTTATTCCTGAAATGATTAATAGTTGGAGATTTTGGGAAACATGCTTATTCACTTTCTTGATGAGAAGATTAATACAACCGTCTGTGTCTATGCGCTAACTGTGGAGCTAGAATGAGGAGCTGAGTATCTTAGCTCAGCATGAAGACAGTGCTCAAAAGTTCACCCCCTAAACACCTCTAAAACTCAGTAGCTAATACATTATATACTTGACTTCTACTATGGCAGATAGCGAACACGAAACAGTAAAATAAAGCAGGTATCTAAAGTAAAAACAGGACACAGGAGAGAAACTAAACTCCAGACCACAGAGATTCAGTTAGACGCTACAGACGTTCTGAGAGCTGAACACACAGAGACTTTTAAAAACACCTTTCTCTGGTCTCCTGCGGTCGGCGAGACGTCATCGTTACCTGCTTGAGGGCAGGCACCCTGGATTTTGGACCTACTCCTGAGAAGGTTCATCTCCGGCATGGCTTTACCGTCACACGGCGTGTCTGAACTGACAATGGAAACAAAAATCAGTGCAGCATGACTTTACTTGGTGCAGCCAATAGTGCCAATGGAGAAAGGGTTTAATACATTTGTTGAATCCATACACAGAAGGAGAGGTGAAAATGTCAAGTTGTGGTTTTGGAGGGAGCGGTGACTTCCTGACAAACCAGGCAACCAGCGGAGACTCCAGGAAGTCACTACTCCTGGCCAAGAAATAGTCCAGCACATAACGCCCTGTAAAACTATCGCTTGATGTTCTTACATTATGGTATTTCTACAGAGATACATATCTGAACTTTGGACAGAGCCAGGCTAGCTTTCTCCGTCTTTATGCTAAGCTAAGCTAACTGTGTTCTCACAATGCATGGACATGAGGGTGGTATAGATCTTCTCATTTAACTCTTGTCAGAAAGCAAAGAACTAAAATATACTAAATTCAATTTCTTGTTCCATTCCAATGTGTTTTCTTCTATTCTGTATTTTCCATCTAAAGGATATGGGAGAACCATATGGCAAACCTGGAGACAGACTGCATGACAACAGCGCTGGATTCAAATGACTCTGAGCAAGTGCCAACTGATTGCAGCCAAGTGGAGGCGAAGCAGCTAGATAGCAACAACTTAATTGATACTCAAAGGTTGCTCATAGCCAACGGAGCATTCAAAAACTTTGGACTTGAAAACAACAAACTCACAGAGGGGGGCATAGTGCTGATACCAAGCTTGAGCCCGCCTGATCCGAGTTTAACAGATCTGAAGATAGCTGAGTGTATTTTATTTAGCAACAAGCTAACAGAGACGGTGCTAGGGGAGATCTCAGGTCATAAAGTAGCAAATGGTAGCCCAATGGAGGACTTGAAATTGGTGGAAAGCATGAACTTGAACAACAAGGCAGCTAAGGTAGAAGACTTAAAACTCACTGAAGTCAAACCAACAGATACCTACCACTTAGATAAAACCATTAGCCTTCCTCCAGAGGCTTTAGTGAGCACACAGACTTCGTCCAGAGGTCACGGTTTCTGTCTCAAGTCCAGGGAAGAGTTTGGATTCCTCTCGATACCCAACTTCCTGATTCTGTCTGTGTCCTTCCTGTTCCTGGCTTATGGCTGCAGCGCTCCAGTAGTTTACCTGGTCCCTTACGCCCTCAGCATGGGGCTGGAGCACCAGCAGGCCGCCTTCCTCATGTCCATGTTTGGAGTCAGCGGGATTGTGGGTAACATCACCTTTGGATGGATCACAGACAGGAAGTAAGTAGAGGCTGTAGGTGTTTTTTTTGTGTGGCAGATATTTAATTAAAGCACCAAAGTGACAGATGTTCTTCCCTCCAGGTATCTGAAGAGGTATCGCCTGCTGAGCTACATGATGGCTATTGGCATGGAGGGGCTCTGCTGTATGTTCGTCCACCTCCTTCACTCCTTCTCCCTCCTTGTCCCATTTTCCGTTCTCTACGGGTACTTTGACGGGGCGTACGTGGCGCTCATTCCAGTGGTGACCTCTGATGTCGTGGGCTCCACCTACCTGACCTCTGCTCTGGGTGCGGTCTACTTCCTGCATGCCATCCCCTACCTGATCAGCCCACCAATAGGAGGTAAGTGTTTATTAACTTATTACAACCGCTGCTGTGTTTGAAGGTGTCATGTAAAGCTCATGTGAGTATCACTGTCACATTCATTTTGAGATCTTGACATATAAACCATAAGCTGATGGGACCAGGGTTAAGATGATTTGGCGTCAGTCTCATCCCAGGCTTCTAGACTTTGACTATATGTATCCTGCCACTATTCTCTTTACTGAAGAGCATACAAATGTCTTAGTGATTAATACATTGGCCTTTTACTCCCTGTAGCATCTGCTGCTTCCAGAAAAAAATATAACTGTCTCATGATTTTGTGCCATAATGCAGTAAACCTGATTTCCTGTCCATTTCCCTGGTCATTATATCCATTACAAAAATATTTGTTCTCAGTTTTGCACATAAACTGAGGAGAACAAGGACGGGATCAAAGCTAGCTGACTTGTTGGAGCTACAGAAGACATTTGGTTATGTGTTTTTATGCCTCCACACCTGCGACAGCTGTCCTTCTGTCCACCCCATTCTCTGGAACGTGGTTCTCTGAACCGCTTGAGGGAATTTCCTCAAATTTGGCACAAACATCCATTTGGATTCAATGATAAACTGATTAGATTCTGGTGGTCAAAGGTCACTGTGACCCCACAAAACATATTTTTTGCCATAATTCATACATGAATTACAACAAAATTTTACACAAATGTCTAATAGGTATGAACGCTGACCAGGTCAGCATCACACAGAAAGTGTTTTAGCAGCTGGAGGCGCCTTTTTGTAATTGTTTTTAATGAGAATGAAGCCTTTTGCTTGCGGTTTTTGCGTTGCATTGCACCTTGCGTTTCTGAGCTCTAGGTGCCTGGCGTTTTTGCCAGAGCGCTCTGAACTCTTCTAGTTGAAAAAACTTCAACTCAGAACAGAAAAACACCCCATGTCATCCTTTTTTAGTCATCTTTTTGTCCCATTGTCCAATTGGATGATTTGAGAGGCGGGCCTTCTGTGGTAGTCATGACAACAAGTTAACAGTCGGTAAACAGCCATGTATTAGAATGCGTAGCCTCTTTACAGCAACATCCACATTTAAAGTACTGTAAGCTGTGGTGGCTACATATGAGTCTGGACAGATGAGGAGTTAAACCATAATGTGACTGGCTGGCAGAGGCATACAACTGTGAGACAGTATTTCTAGTTTTCTTCTGAGGTGTAACATATCTTTCCTGTTTCTCTGTCTCCAGGTTGGTTGGTAGACAGGACAGGAAACTACGCAGCAACCTTTTTCCTCAGCGGGGCTTCCTTCATGCTCAGCTCTGCGGTGCTATCAGCTGCCTTGTTAGTCAGACGCTGCCAGAGGTTTAAATCTGCCGCACACTTCAATCCCAATCACACTACTGCTGCAGCTCAGCAGGACATCATATGACAATGCTAATCAAGATGCTGCTCCTCCATCTGCACGGATGTGCACCTCATCACTGCTGATGTGATCAGGTGCTACTTTGATGTGCATCATACCTGAACCTGTGCCTTTTTTAAAGAAACAATGTGACTTTGAGACAAACAGATTATGTCATAATAATATTTTTTTGATGAGAGTTTTCTGTTTGTTTAATGCTGATATTTTGTTTTGTAAAACCAAAGAGCATTCCTTATCAAAGCCAAAAATTGCAAGCAGGTTGTCATTAACATTGCTATAGTGAGCTTTTTGATAGTGTAGCTTCTATAATTTTTAAGAGTATTTGCCAAAATTATCCATTTTGCCAGTTGATTATGATTAATATTTTATCATCACGCGTTAGGCTATCCTATGTGGGAAAGCACCGGGCTCCAAGACAAGTGTAAACACTTTAAAAAAGTGCTTTAAAAAAATGAACTGAAACAGACTTTATTACTGAAAAAAAACATTGCTTTGTCTGTAATTTTGCTTTTGAAAACAAGATTTTCTGTATAGTATTATCACAAACTGTTTTGTGCAATATCCAAAGTTACGTACCCTCACTCTACAAATAGCTAAATTGCTCTGCCGTACATTCCCAGGCTTCCCATATCACAGTAGGATGAATATGGTACATTTTTTATAGGGTGAAAATTTACTGTGTCATTTGTGTCAATATGTAAAAAGTAATCTGCATCTATTAGAGAATAACAATAATTTCAAAAACAAGAGTTTACAGGCAGACAGACACGGTGCCGGTTCCCTCATACTTGGAAAGCTGGATAAAATAAAATAAAGTCTGGACTGGTGCTTATATTCAGCCATTTCTGTGTAACTTGTAAGAAGAATTCTGAAAAGTGGTGCTACATGCTACAACGACTGCAAATGGGTGTACTTTGAATTAGATATTACCCAGCTGGCATTTTAATGTTTATTCACTGTTGAATCAGTGGTTGAATTACTGTTGAATTCTGGTTTGATTGTGAAAGATGAATCAGCGTTGATTTCGCAATGCTGTTTCAGTGTTGTTTCATGAACTTGAGATGTGGTTTCAAAATTGTTTCAACGTTGAAACAGATCTTCAACGTCGAAGGCCAGTCGTGTGCCAGCTAGGTAGAGCAACTTTAGAAGAATTAGAGAAATAATAGTGCTCGTGAGTCTTTGATTTTATTAAGAAGAACATGAGCATTTGTGTCAGACTGTGTGCTTTCCTACAGCAAACCATCAACTTCTTTGTCCATGGAAACCACATTAAGAATATCACTCATGCATATCAAAGTCATGAGTGATTGTTGTGCTTTTGAGTGCTGAGAACATAAATATGATAGTGTTGTTAAATAAATAAAATGTATATTCATTTAATCATGTTTGTGTGGGTGTTTCTTACATTTTAAATGTGTGCCTTTATTTATTTTGCCATGTATTGCAGTGGTAGCCATTTAGCCAATCACAGCACAGCGTTTCAGTGTCGTCACAAGACACGGAGCATTAGCCGTTCAGCTACTCGGTTGTTGCTAATATGGAAATATGAAATTTAAACGGGTTGTTTCGTCCATGGCAAATATTTTACCACCCTGGCAAGACGGTAGGCACCTGTAAGATCACGAAAATCCATTTGAAGATGCAACTCGCTGCTAGAGAACAGGTGAAACACTAAATTACTTTTAAGTTTTGTGCCGGAAGCGCTAACGTTATGTGACCAACCGTTAACAGGTGCCGAGGTTATAATTAGGGCTATCTTCAGCTAGTTTGTTAGCATAATTTCCGGTCACAGAGCTAAACATTGGTTTCTCTGAAACATAATTAACTAGGGATGTTTGAAAAACCTAGAAGGTAATTTAAATACCTTTACCGTAGTTGTTAAGGTCCCCAAATACTGAGAACCACCTGAATGACTCATTTAGGTTCAGCTATCTCTACAAACCAGACTTCATGCTAAGCTAACCTAGCTAACACCTGGGGCTAACTCAACCTTTAACCCCTCAAACATGTTTTCACCTGTAAACACCCCTTTGAACAACAAAGGACCAGCCAAACTGCCCTTTAGAATAAATTAGTACTTCCATTTTATGCTAGCTACTTTATACTTGTAATTTTACTCCACTATATTTAATTTTTAGGCTTTATAGCTCCTTAGAGGAGGGTTGAAACTCAGCAGCTTCTTGTTATACTTTATTGTAACCTTGGTTACTGTAGACAATATCTATTTGGGGTATTTTAGTTTCTTAAGTCACCATACTTATTTATATGTTACAGAATACTGTGGAAACATTAGTATTTTGGCAGGGATAATTCCACATTGTTATTTTGGACATACAGAATTAATTTGTATTATTGCATATAGTGATTTATATGGCTGTTTTTATTGGAAATTTTTGTTGAAAGTTATTGGAAGTTATTAGACAAATAAATGAATAATGATATAGCATTGGTAAAGATCGTGAGTAGTTTTCTGAGTACATGTCCAAACAATTTAGCCAATTAGCAACCAGTAGCAGCCAAAGTGGGCTATAGGCTCGTCACTACAGATGGCATTTGGACTATTATTTTATTCGTATACTTAATGCGTACCTTTAAGTTGCTATTTTATGTCCCCTAAGGCTTGAGCAAGAGTAACTAAAGTTCCTACCTGACATTGTTTAGGGGGACAGGTGTTAGTGTAACAGAAACAGGTTAACATGCTGCAGTTGGGTCAGAGTGAGGCTGGTGTATGTTGGTGTAAATTAAAGAAGATAAACTGTGGCCTGCTTATTACTCACAAGCCACTGAACAAGATGTACAATAATGATAATAATAACTTTATTTGTAAAGCACTAAGTTTACAAAGTCCTTCACAAAATGCATAAAAGATACAGCTATGAAAAGACAGTTGCAACAATAAAGGCAATCTTAAGAGCTAAGAAAAATAAAGCATGGAAAGGCAAACAGAACAGAGGGACATAACACAATTAAAAACACAAAAGCTACAAATTAGGCATTAAAACAAAAAAGCTTTCCCACAAAAATATGTGTTAAGAAATGATTTTAAAAAAGGTAATGTTCTAGCAAGCCTTATCTTGTTAGGCAGGGAATTCCAGAGCCTATAGGGGCTCTGATGGCAGAAGCCCCGTCACCTTTGGTCACCAGCCTTGACCTATAGATATGACTAGTAAGGGTAGGTTTAAGGATCTTAGGTTACAACTTAGTTATATAACTGTAAAAGTAATTAAAATAATCTTGAAATCAGACCTGAAGTTAACTGGCATCCAATTCAGGGAGACAAAAATTGATTAATATGTGACCTACAACTGTTCTACATTGTTGCTCAAAGCAAGCAACTTCCAGACATCCTAATCTGTGTCACAGAAATCTGTCATCAACACTCACTGTATTGTTATCCTGAAGACGAAGGGCAATCACACTATCATCTTCCTTCAGCTCATCAGATGTGGAGAGATGCAGAGGTTTGGCGACTTTAGTCTGGTGCTGTTTGGAGATAGTGTTGCATGCATAGACAAAATAGAGTAGTTGAGTAATCAGCATCAGAGGGATGATCTATATTTCTTCACCTAACATGAGAGGATACATTTTGTGTAAGTTTTTGTACATGTTTCTGTTTTTCTGGCACAATTGTCTTCATTTATCTCACCATTAAACTATCTGTTTAGAAACTTTTAGAGAAACTTTTAGCTTTTAGAGATGTACGTTGCATTTGTAGCTCCATGTAGTTTCCTGTTGGCTGTGGGCTAGATGTATGATGTCTCATCAAGATAATTCTAGCAGCTTTGGTGTGATGTTTCCAGTGAGGTTTGTTTTCTTGTTATCAGATGATGAAAGATGAAAGAACAAATATCAGCTACATATCCATTATCATCACAACTATATAGTGTACAGCCTGTAGATGGCTGAGTGCAGCAGGTTAATGCAGGGCATTTGTGAAAGCCAAGGAGTTGTAACACCAAAAACAGATACTACAGATTTCATCACACCACTAGCAGCATGTCTAACTATCTCTAATAATCAATCAATATTTTTCAAAATGTTAAAAATCAATACCACATGATGATTTAAGGTTTGCAGGACCATTTGACCTTTGGCCTGCTTTTTTTGCTTTGCTCGTGTGCAGTGTTATCTCCTCTGAAGCTGTGAAATGTAAGTGTTGCTAACATCACTTTTTGCTGCCTGCTCACTTTTGTGCGTGCATGTGTGTGTTTCAGATCTGGCAGTGTTTCTGCAAACACTGTGTTGTCCTCTCCCATACCGAAAAAGATGTTCCACACCATGTTGGCAGCCCTCATAGCTTCACACTAGGTTCCACTACCGAAGCTACAGCTGCTAAGGTACACCAGGGTGAAGTGGGTGTTTTTAGCCACAAGGGGGCAGTAGACTCACGTGTGGCGCTTCAGGGTGTTAAGTCAATCAATTACTCTGTCAGTCCACCACCTGCAGGGACTGGCATCAGGGCTGGGTGCATTGTGCTCCGGGCAGCAGGGAAGGGCCAGGATCTGACCCCTGGCATGGTGAGGTGTCAAGTTGTGGTGATATAGCGTCCAAATTCCCCAGATCCCAATCTGATGGAGCTTCTGTGAGACGTGCTGGTATCAAACCTCACAGCCCACAGGACCTCACAGCCCACAGGACTCAAAGGATCTGCCGCCAACGCCCTGGTGCCAGACACCACAGAACGCATCTAGAGGTCCTGTGGTCATGCCTCGACAGTGCCAAGTACACAAATCTGGGGCAAATCTGGGGCACCCACTTGTCCAACAGATGTTCAATCAGATTGGGATCTAGGGAATTTTAGGCCAGGTTACTTTCATCTCTTTGTCTCGAGCCTTTAGATTTGGCTGATCGGTGTATCTAAACTGTGATAGCATAATTTAGCTGCGTAGTTAAATAGTGTGATTTTACAATTGTTAAATATTGTCAAACTAGTAATATTAAGATTTATAATCTTATAAATCTTATAAATAAGTATGATTTCCTAAATTCATTCTAAAATGCTCACATTAGGGCAGGCACTATACAATACATTTCCCTCTTATTTACTGCTACAAACACACACTCACAAACACACAGCTATTTTTGTATGGTGAGTGTGTCTGTTCATCTTGTGTGTGCAGTGTTTGTTATGTATGCATGAAGGACTGTGAGCTGCATGTGTTGCATCACCTGTTGACTTTCATGCATCCGTGTGCTAGTGCATTCAGAGGAGTGTCTTTGTACGTGCATTTGTGTACTGTTTGTGTGTGTGTTTGAGTGTGTGCGTGTTCACCAAAGAGAACATCCCGTTCTGAGTGTATCTGCCCCCACACAGGGAGCCCTGCGTTGTTTTGCTGCTGCAACCACTGGTGCGTGTTTTCTCTGCATCCTCAAATGTGACACGTAGCTATAGCCATCACACAGTGTCTGCCTGCTCTGTGTTGGGATATATTTTATCAGTGTTTTAATACTTCCAGGCTCATAATGTGTGTATCTGCTGTTCTTTATCGACAGCTGCTTTAAATTTATTTGCATGAAGTCACTGTTAATACAGAAACTAGTCATTTAAGCACAGCAGTGTGCGTGTCAAGCAGAAATTAAGTCACTTTCAGTTCTTCAAAATAGTTTTTGTCAAAAGCGGCCTGTACAGTCAGTGCGACTAAGTGTTTTAGTTTACTCTCTGTTTTGTTGTCAAAATCTCTTTGTACACGCATTTGTGGCACCGTCATAGAACACTGGTGGATGATATGCTGTGAGAAAGGATTAAATCTAGAGCAGGATTGAAAAAGTTGAAAAAAAGCTTGTTTGTCTGTAGATGCGTTCAGTGACATTATTTGTGAAAGTGATAAATCAGATAAGGCAGCTGTGTTTTTGGTAAGCACTTTGGTCTTACATCTGTAATCTGAAACTGATCTGGAGCAATTGCATAAATTGGAAAGTATTACTTTTGCTGACTCAGAAGTGTCAGTAACACCACCAGTGTCCCACCAGCAGATGACCCTACCCAGGGGTCAATAACCACAAATACACTCTCAAACTTTGAGAAATACTCAACTACTGGTCCTTAAAGATACTTGTAGCACATATCCACTGTGCAAATCATGTTTTTCAAATAATACCGCAATAGTCAGATGAGCTTATACGTAACGGCGGTCGCTAGTGAATACAATTTTCCCAAAGTGACTTATGATAAGTAGATTTAATTACACAAAATTCATATAATACCTTCCACATCTGTTCAGTTCTGATGAGACTGTGGTGTTGGTGAGATAATGAATAGACCAGCTGTGTAAGGGCACTGATGTGCCAAGCTGACAGTCAATCCATTGGTCAATGTCAGACCATCAGTGAGCATCTTTGGCCCTAGTTTTTATGGTGTGTCATGTACCGTTGACACTAGT